CCATCAATTTACAAAGTGATGAATTTCAAGCTTACCATTGTAGATCTAACAGCCCTCCCTGGTGAGCGATGGCCGACTTCACTCTGTTGGCAAACTGGACAGCGTCTTCCCCTTCCTGACATTTTGGAATATAGAGAAAAGTCAGTCTTCTGTGGTGTGTTTATGACTCATGTTGTGGGGTCATAAATGTGTCTGCATGTCCTCATAACCATTAAATTTTAGGATAATGACTTGGGTATTTAAAGGAAAGGTTAAGTTTGTGCGAGATTAAAGAAGGCTAGAAGTTGTGCTTGGGGCTAGGGCAAGTCTCCAGTTCAACATAATGTCCCCTGAAGTGATGGAAACATGACTGTGCATGTGTGTGAATATGTAGAGGGGTGGGGGGGTTGCACTTGTGCAGCACATGCATGCCCCAATGCATACATGTGCTTACATGCTTCGACTCATGTCAAACACACCTTCTGGTGCATGGCCGGCAGGTACCAGACGTTGCAGACGAGGGCCCAGCTCGTCATCATCCTCAGCAAATAGCTGACCATGCTGTACTTGGAGCTGTTCCAGAAAGCATCTCCAAACTTCGGGTCATACTAAGAAAAGTTTGAACACACAGAGACATGCAGTGAGGAGCAGAAATATGTGAGAAACCTGAACAGAGAACGACTTCTAGACACCACTGACGTACCTTAATGGCTACTGGATATATTGTTCCTCCAATTTCGAAACTTCCCTTTTTGAACATCATGACAGATGTGTTGTTGACGCAGGTTCCTATAGAAACCAGACATCAGGAAGTTAAAGAGACGGAGTTGTGTGAGCTTCTTCCAGCCAACACCACATTACATATCTGCTCATTTGACACAGCTCAGCCGCCAGACTGCTGTCAGACACTGAGCTGGAATAACAACACTCACTGAGGCTTCTCTTTGAAGAGTCAAACATCAAACTGGTGTTGTGGAGAAAGTAATTCTATCTTTCCACATGAGCACACTCACCCTCTGGAAATATCAATATGGGAAGCTTTGTCTTGTCATTCACATGATCCCTCAACCTGGAAGACAAGAAGTAATGGAAACCATTTGGTGACGATACAAACATACACATGTTGTGTCTTTGGGGAGCATTTTTCACACATGGGACGGCACATCTAACATCTGCACTGGGTGTCTTGGTGCAGAGGGCAAACAATAAGAAACTGGATGCCAGACTGCATGAGTCACTGTTCAGTAGCAACATCCCAAAACATATCTGTTCTCACTTGGATAATAAGAGACACATAAACTCTCTGGTTCTTTACTGCCAGGAAAATGCCAGCCTCTCCTGGTACCACAGCAGCCACAGAGAGAAAACACAAGTGAGACAGACAAGCAGTGACAAGCCCTTTAAGAAATGTGGAGTCAGGAGAGAGAGAGGGGATGGAAACTAACCTTTTGGTCACTAGATGGCGATCTTTCATCTCTGCTCTCTCAAACCAGATGTGAGGACAAGACCTCACCATGGCTCTCTGGAGAACTCCCATCAGACCTCCATGGACCTGACCCACCTGAGGACGGATTGTGTGAAATCACATGGTCCAAAACGGCAAATATAGAAATGTAGACATATGTTGCTTGGGGGCTGGTTTCACTGCCTACCATGGCATAGCCGCCATCGTTGCAGAGAATCACAATGTCGATGGGACTGGTGTGATTGGCGACACAGATCCCTCCTTTCTGGGGTTTGTTTTCCCTGTGGCGGGGAGGTGAAGCGTGAAGTCAGAATCAGAAGATAAAGTCATTTCTGACTTTTGTTGGAACAGCACTTAACAGGAAGTCTACCTGTTGTGATAGCGAATAGTAGCAGAGAGACCTCGAGCACAGATTCTGTAGCACATGACATGGACCCATTCGCTGAGCCAGGACTTTATCCTGAAAACACACATTTGCATGCACACTTGAAGCACACTTAAGGCAGAAGCTGATGTCACAAAAATGAATGGGTTTAAGCAAAATGTAAGGTGCACAAAATGATTATTTGTGTACTGGTTATGCTTTATGCTCACCTCCCATTTGGAAGTAATCCGACTGCAGATGTTCCTATCACCAACCAGGTCAGACCAATGCAGGCCAGAGTTATCCTGGAGAGA